AAATAAAAATAACTCAACTTGATCATTTATGTTACGATTTTAACAAATGCACATTGTTCTAGAAGGATGGCAAATTGTTATGTTGATAATACAATTTGTAAGGAAACATGCATTACATAGTGAGGTATTTCTGGGGAAACTTTTTCAAAGGAAAACACACACACACACACACACACACACGCATGTCTCTGCTGACCCACGGCGGTCTCGGAGAATCAGCAGCATCCACAACAGATCGCGCGTCTCAAAAGTGAGTGGGGAATTTACCGAACGTGGCACTTGCGAGAGTTAACATTGTACGCAATACCCGCAACCTCACACCAAATTTCAGGCCGTGTAGATAGGCAAGCATATATACAAATCATTTAGTAAGCAGAAATCCGAAATTTACCTTAACATATTAAGTTAGAGGAAGATGTGACTGAATTGATGCTTGAAGAATGCGCTTCCAGCAGCCATGATAAACAGTTGGCGGTTAAAGTTTTCTATGCACAATTTGATTTGACGAAAGTCACGAGACCTATTACTATCTCTCTATCCAATCACGTTGATGGATAAAAATACAATTAAAATAAGCATGTAGCGACCACAAACGGAGGAAAATAGTACCGATACATCACTTAAAATGTACTCAAGTAAAAGTACACAATTTTTAAACTACTCAAAAAAGTACAATTACTGATAAAAACTACTTAATTACTGTAACGTGAGTATTTGTAATTCGTTACTTCACACCCCTGGTAATGTGTAATCGTGCGTGCGCAGGTTGACGCAGCGTCATTCAGATCTCTGTTCATTCCTGTTTTTCTCAGGCTCTCTGACAGATGGACGCAAGTTCGACTCCTCCCGGGACCGGGGAAAGCCTTTCAAATTCAAAATTGGCAAACAAGAAGTCATCCGTGGTTGGGATGAAGGAGTAGCCCAGGTAACAAGACAAGACAAGTACACACAAGCTGTCTATTGTGGTTTTGATAACCAAGCCGTGTCACTTCTTTTAACCTCCATTCATTGTTTCGTACTGTACTTAATTTGGCCAAATGACCTCTCCCCCTTGTGACAGATGAGTGTGGGGCAGCGTGCCAAGCTGACTTGCACTCCGGACTTTGCTTACGGGAGCAAGGGGCACCCGGGCATCATTCCTCCCAACGCAACCCTCATATTTGACGTGGAGCTGATTGGCTTGGAGTAAAGCCCCCACATTTGGACTCAGGTTATTCCCTATTCATTCTTTCAGGGTAGGTGCAAAGTTTTCCACATTTCTCTTTTGAGTTCATTAGTTGTTGTTACTTGGTATTTAATACATTTTATGACTGCATGTCACCTAAGAAGATACTTATTTTTTTATCATTGTAGATAGTTCCTCCAGTTGCATGGATCACTTTAATAACTAAAAGTTAATCTTTAAAGGAGATTATTGTAGTCTTGGTCGTAAACGTCCTGTAGAGTTTATTTAACAGGCTCTTAGATTAAACCTGTAAAATGTATGGCCTTTGAGGAACACGGTTTAGTTGTTTAATAAACCTCTCTCTTTGTTTTCTTCCAGGTCAACCTTTTTAAGGAACATTGCTCCATGCACGTGATCCTCAAAAGGGGCTAGTGTTAATAGCGATACCACTTAGCTTAGCTCTGTTTTGCATTTGTATATTTTGTTGCCTTTTATTTCTTTTCTGCTTGACATAATCACTGGTATCCTCTCAATTATTGGATGTTCACTAAGACACCGGTTTCTTTCTTTTTTTCCCCCCTTTCCTTCTCTTTTTATATTTGATTTCTGTGTTGTAAACGCGATCACAGCAACAGGGTTGTGGCTGAGCTGGTAACAAGTACTCTGGTGGGGAAATCTGGTTAAGTATAAAACAAAACTACTTGAAAATAAATTGTTTATAAAAAGATCAAGCTGGTCTCTGATGTGTTGATTGGGGAAACTGGAATGGTTTGTTTACATGTGCGTTCTTATAATCATGTCAGATGATGATAGTTGGTCCATATTTCATAGTGTGCTGGGTAGCCCCACCCACATTGAAATCTCATTGGTTGAAATCCCACTCTGCATAACTGAATATTAAACATCAATTTTGTTCTGATTGCCTGTAATTGTCATGTCACAGCGTTTTTCTTTAAGTGAGGACAGACTAGGACACAGTGCAAGTAAAAGAAAGTCATTAGCACAACAGAAGCTTTGTCATTTTAACAAAACATTTTTATTTTATTTGAACCAAACAATCCAAATTTACAATTAGGGTTGAGTGTTGATGGGCTTTGTCTAAATACACAGTCATTTTGTAATGAGGCTCCGCAAGTCAGGATGCGTTCTTTATGTAAATGTCTATTTGAAACAGAATCTAAGTTTCCCGATAAAGCTAAGTACTAGGAATTATTGTGCTAACATGCATTTTAAGCCCTTAAAATAACCTACTGGAATACCATGATTACGGAGTTTTGTTCTTTTGTGCTACTTCAAAGTAACAGAAGACTTTGCTTTACAAATCCACCAATCAATTGCAAGTATTTTCCTAATAAAGAGTTTTCTGAAATCTGGATGCATGCAACAGTTAAAGACCCATTTGTTTTCTGAAGTGGTGCGTTATCTTGAGATTAAAAACAAGCCTATTATGACCGTAAATATATATCTTCACAATTACTGTTCTACTATTTATAAACCGTTGTTTTTCTAATGAATGAATGTTTTGACATGGGTTTCCGCTAAGTTTACGTCCTCTAGTACTATTCACCTGAGTTCCACCTGAGACGGAGTTTAAAAGAACTGAAAAATCTTACCACCCGAAGGACAGATTAATAAAGTCATCTTAGGCCATCACCTTCCATTGCTTTTATCAGTGAAATCTGGCATTTGAACAATATTTTCTACAATTCAAATAATTAAATAAGCAAATGAAGCACAGTAAAGCAGTTTCTTTTTGCTCATATTAAGAATACACAGTTTTCTTGTTATAGGATCAACGTTTTAATATCTAATGAGTTATGCATGTTTTTTAGAGATCCAAACAGCAAAGTTGCTGGATGCCTATTGCTTCTTGCAGTTACCATTTAATATTATTTTCCCTTTTAAACAATTTTGTGTCTATATTGTGAAAAGTTCTGTTTCTTATGAAATTAGATGGATTGGCACAATGGTTGCTTAGCAACAGGTATATAAAGGTTTAAAATTTGAAAGCCTAGCCCCACTAATTTGTGTGCGCTATGGACCTGAAATCTCCTCTTCTCATGAAGATCAATGCACACCAATGTCTATGTAACCTACCTGCAAAATTTACATGCAAAGTTTTTTTTGAGAACAGGCTTCACTCG